GTGAGTACAAGGGTTTGTTGTTTTGCGGTGTTGGCCCTGGCCGTCGGGATTTCGAGCAGGACCTAGGGCTTGTTCGAGGCTGTTTCCCGTAGGGTGTGTTGTCCAAGGTTCTTAGTGGGTGGGCTGTTTGAATAGGCTGTGAAACGAGTACTGATATAAAACACTTTGTATCGATATTACTGTTGAAAAAAGTTAAAAATGTGAATGCAAACATTTTGTTGATCCATATTGATGCCAATACTTTGATTACTGGAAATGGAAATGGGAACATACTCAAGGTCATGGATTATCCTGCTATATTCTTTTCGGCTTTCGCAAAGAGGTCCTTGGGTGCCATGATAAGTGCACGCTATTGTGAAACAATTTTTGGTGAAAAAAGGAAATTATTACGATAACTCAAACCGTGACCAATCAGATATGAATGCGGCTGTGTTGACTTACTCTTGTGGCTTATTTGATATCGGATCTTTTCGGAAATTTATCTGGTGTATTTGATAGGTAATTATTTGCTACAATTTTTTTTTCTAGAATCGTTGAATAACTGATATCCACAGTTGCAGAATCATTCAACCGAGACTCAAAAAATTTCTTTTTTTTAGCCATCATGTTTATAAATTGATAGCCTCATTTTGGCCCCGATGAGAATATTAGTGTAATCGTCGTGGTGCCGTCACGTCGGCTAGCATCTGTTTAATTTCCCGAGGGAGCGCGATGCACGCAGGCTTGTTTTGCGGGGCATGCGAGCGCCGTCCCGTCTGCCGGATAGACAGGCGGGCCCTGGCGACTCCTCCTTCCCCCTCCTTCCCCTTCCCCCTTCCCTCCTCCCCCCCCCTTCCCCTCCTCCTCCTCCCTCCTTCCCCTCCTCCCCCTCCCTTCCCTCCTCCCCTCCCTCCCCTCCTCCCTCCCCCTCCCCGTTACCCGCCTCTTACCAAAGTATGTAATCAAAACTGTCCTTCTCTCGTGGCATCACGTGTCTAACTTACTTCGGAGCGAAATAAGAGGAAGAGGGAAAAAAAGGTGACGGAGCAGTCCAACATGTCCGAGGAACCAGCAGGAATCGCTTGTCTTCCTACGATGTGACGGGGAATATTTTTTTAAAAATTGGATGGAAATCATACAAGGCGTTCTGATATATTTCTGATGAGAATGAGTAAAATAGGTGAAATGGGGAATGCCTAGAAAGCTCGGTAATAAGGCGGGAAGGTAGATCAATTTAAGGAACGAATGAAACACTTGAGGAAAAAAAGTATGTAGATAAGTTAATTGGAGATGCTGGGACGCCCAAGCCCCTCGAGCCTGTTAATCCATTTAATTGTTTTGAATAATTAATAGTGGTATAGGAGAGTTTCATTAACATGTGATAATTTACTCAGGGTGATGCTCCTCCCATGATGCACGAGATTTAAAGTACTGTATCTGCAAATTTGTTAATGTAGACTTTTGATATAAATGAAAATTATTGCAATACCTAATTAAGTTAATTGGGATTTGGGCATATTGAAATGAGAGGGAGAGGTGTAGGCCGCGCGTTTTGTGGTAGAGGGATCTTCTCTCACTCAACGGGCCTTAGATACAACGACCGGCTTGCTAAGAGAGAGAAAAAAGGCGAGAGAACTGGAACTTTCTGAATTTTGAATTTTAACCGGACCGGAGTTTTCGCTTATTTTTAAGAGGCCTTGCCCTCTTTGAGAGAAATGACTACATTTTTCACATTGTAGTGACATTGCGTGGCCGATGAATGCCATCCAACATTAATGTAGGAAATGCCATGAGAAAATGTTTTCTCAAAATTAACTTGACTAAATGGTAGTGACTTATGGAATACCCATTTTTTTCGTCCTTGTTGCTGTTGTCGTAATTACTGTGTTTGCAAAAGATTGCATTTTTCCCGTTTAAGGAATAGGATTAAATGCTTGATGGTGGTGTTGCTAGAAAAGATAAGACTAAGGAAAATAATTTCCGACGGAGGAAAGAATAGATGTGAAGAAAATCATAGTTTAACCTTCGACAGTCATTTTCCATTAATCTTGAAAGTGATATAAGATATAACTCTCGCTCATAACCCTCTTTCGGGTGACCTGAAAGTCCAGATCGTAACTTAATATAAGATAAAATGAAGGAAAAAAGGGGGGAGGGAAGGGGAGAAAGAATTACTTAATATAAGATAAAATAAAGGAAAAGGGGGGAGAGGGAAGGGGAGAATTACGTAATATAAGATCAAATGAAGGGAAAAGGGGGGAGAAGGAAGGGGAGGAAGAATTACTTAATATAAGATAAAATATTACGTAATATAATGATGGAAAAGGGGAGAAGGAAGGGGAGGAAGAATTACTTAATATAAGATAAAATAAAGGAAAAGGGGGGAGGGAAAAGGGGGAGAGGGAAGGGGAGAAAGAATTAATACAAGATAAAATGAAGGGAAAGGGTGAGGAGAACGAAGGGGAGGAAGAATTACTTTGATAGTGATAGACGACCCGGACCGCGTAACGAGTTAAATTTGGGAATTTGTCGTCCCCGGGGAATTACCGGACCGTTAAATCCGGTAACCGAACATCGGCGGAAAGCAAAATCAGCGGAACCCAAACTTCGGCCGAGGAGAAACATGGCCTCCGTAAATTTGATGGCCAGGCGCGTTCTGAAATTCGAGAAGGGAAATTTTAGCTTAATAAAAGCCTTGATGGATCGTGCCTTAAGTTTTCCCCTTTTCTTTTTCCTTCTAGGGTTTGAAGGGACCGGGGAAGCGGGGGGAGGGAGGTTAGTTAGGGGAAGGAGTGAGTGGGTCGGTGGGTAAGGTGAGTTGGTGAGTGGGTCGGTGAGTTAGTGAGTGGGTCGGTGGGTTAAGTGAGTTAGTGAGTGGGTAGGTAAGTGAGTGGGTGGACGAGCGTGTTGGTGAGGAGGTGCATGAGTGGGAGAGTGAGTAAGTAGCTGCGGCTTGCGTTTGGGTTAAAGGGAATAAAAGTAATGGGAGAAAGAAAGAGAAAAAAAATCATAGGCGGAAGAAAAAGATAATAGAGTGGCTGAGGGACGCCAGCCTTTGTTGGAATCATCCGGGGTCGGCTATCTTGTACGTCCCGAACTTTCTTTTCTTGGCGATGTGATGTCCCCTGACGTAGCTACCGGTTTGGCCGAGTCGCTTGCCACGTAAGACGGCGCTCGATATTACGATCTCCCGTTCACCTTCACCGGCCGTAGGACTCGGGGTCGTGAGGAGGTGCTCCTTGATCGAGAGATATTACTGTGATTTAGTTTTCCTCACGTAATGGGGCCGTGGCGATAAGGCGGCGGGAAGGAGTAGTCGATGGGATGCCTCCCTTCCAGCACGTCGAGGGACGCCGTGGTTAGCGGGGCTCAAGACGTCCCTCCCCCGCCCCCCCTCACCGTTAGGAATATCCCCTTCAAAGTGTTTGTGGATAACGTGGCTGTCGATCTGTAAAGAGAAGAGGCGGGGGAGGGAGACACCCGTGTGAAATTGGATGTAGAAATTCGTCCTCACACGTTATGTCATTTTTATCGGCCCGCGTGTGTTTTTAAGAGCATTTCCCAAAGGAATTTTAAAGGGAAAAGGCCCGTCTTAGCCATAGCGCACGGACACGCCCTCGAATGGGAATTGTGAAGAGAGGGGAAGCAGGGAAACAACGAGGGATGTTGATGTATGCGTGTGATTTACCGAGCTCCTTTGGGCATTGGCAGCTAGGTATTGTCTCTGTTTTTATCTTCGTCTGATAGGATTGAGGAATCAGTCTTCGGGGATGCTATAACAGCAGTGGTAGGTCGCGTATTCAGGCTTCATTTTGATCGGATAGACACACTTCAGGAGAAAGACGGAGAAAGACGAGATGGAAAGGTGGAGGAAGAAATGGCGGAGAAAAGAAAGGAGAAAGTAGGTTACTGGGGAAAAATGGGTGGCGAAGGCGATGGGATGGAAAATAAAGAGTAGCAAGAGAAATGGAGTGGCAGAGAGAAAATACAGAAGGAAATTTTACTGGATGCTGAGTTCCCTTTCCTTGCAAGCCCTGCTGCTGTCAGTCTTCGGTCCGTGTTCCCTATAAGATATTCATTTGGCTGCTGTGCGTTCCTTCTTGGCGCGATGGCCATTCTTGCATTTGGCCCCCGTGTCGTCGAAGGGATTGGCTGTTGCTGACTCCACAGTGCCACCGCGTGCCATAGCTTCCGTCGCACCGGCCGGCTTCCTATGGCACTATTGATATATCACATCGAGACCTAACTAACTACCCGTGGCACCTCGGCGCGAGCGTTGACGGGGGTGGGGGGTCTCGTATAAATAGGAGGGGTCCCAGGTCCCTCTGGTGCCGCGTCGACAGTGAGACTCTTCTCATTAGTCCCATCATTCCGTGTTTCACTTATTGCTTATTCCTGCCACGTGTCAAGGGGTCGGTTCCCGCCCCGTGAATGATTAAGTGGCGCAGCCGACCGTCATGGCGAATGTCGCGCACGTTGCAAAGTTCGGTAGATTTAGCCTCCAAGATTGTGTTTGTACGCTGTTCCTTGCTAATGTACGTGAGCGAATTGAAGCAAGAGGCGTACGTGCCCTTGGTGTATTGGTATATCTTGGCATATCTTGGCTTGAATGTGAATGCCTTTAGTTTGGCAAAATGAGGGATTTTATTTCGCTTATTCAACTGAAAATCATCATATATTACACATTATAGATGTTGAGGATCTAGATTTTATCTAGGATTTTGCTAAAAGGGAATTTGCAGATATGCCGAAAATATACTAATGTTGACACGTATATGTCTAGATCAAATCGTACGTGTAAAACTTTTAGATTTACGAATTAACAAGTTTATCAAAGTATTTACTTTTGATCGGCACTTAGTTTACTCTCAGACACTATTATTAGTTCTATTTTCTTAGGTTTATCTATGTGATGTGACGTCGCCGGCCAAGGGAACTTGAAATGTGACCGTGATTATCATTCTGTTTTAGCCTCATTAATTAAATGTCAGAGTTCGGATTGCAGGATTAATCAAGTGTGT